ATTTGGTTTGACTGTGTATGTGACATGAACTGTAATTTAAGCTCACCGATAGTACAGCTCGAATTTCACATCATCACGTGGCCATGCCCTAAGAGATTGATTCCCACGCCACTGTCTCGAGACAGTGACTCTACTTCATTCAACATGTTAGATCACGCAGCAAATCAAATCAAAATAGTTAAAGAATTGCCTCGGGATTTCGCTCTAATTAGCAGTCCACTATTGTACACACAGCCTGTCTATTGCTTTATTTCAATGAAATTGACGTTGCATAAGCTGCAGTCTACAACACGCTCGTGGATTATTGGGTGATTTAAATCCGACGACGATGAAGAGCACGGCAAACATGAATTCAAGGAGAGCTTCCACAGAATGCAGTACCTGTATATATATATATACATGCATCCTCTGAAACACCGATAATGACAATAACTTCAGGCAGAATACACGTACATCGGATAAGACGAGGTAAATCGTTCATCATTATTACCTAGGCAGGCAGGAATATATACTATTTTGGATATGAAACACATGTACTGATGTCATAGAGCGCATGGAAGAGAGAAACAATAAAACTACCGGATACAAATCAATATTCATTCATTCATTCATTCATTCATTCATTCATTCATTCATTCATTCATTCATTCATTCATTCATTCGTTCATTCATTCATCTTTAAAATACAACCCGATAGAGTTACATTTAAATCAGTACTCAGACAGAAATAGTATAACGGCCGGCGTAGTATGCATGCATAGGCACAGGATTAAAACGAGGAGATTTATAATATGACACATGACGTCATCACAGTGAATAATGAGAAATGTTGGCATTTAATATATGAATTAACGTCCGAGGCAATTCACAAGTATAACTCGTTATCGTGAATATGTATATTTAATATTAACGCTAGGGTAAATAAATTGCCATGGTAACTGACGAGTAAAATGATGTCTTTGAATTCTGCATAAATATGAGTGTTCCGTTCTTGCTCAATTGTGTTGTTGCACTAATTAGAACTTATATCAATTTGTTTTTTATATAACTACACGTTTTCAAAAGTCAAATATAGTAAATGTCAAATGTCAATATTTTGTTTCATAATTGGTGTTATTACAGAGCGTAATAATAGAAGCTGTTCTAAAGAATAAACACAGTGTGCCACGTTAATCTTTTGATTTGATTTGACAATAAATGACAATATCTGATGTCAATCATAAATAGTTTACTATAAGTGATCGAACGCATCTCCTACACACAGCAGTTTTCAAATCAATATGTTTATTACACGTCAATTTGAATATAAACATATGAGAACACAAAGTCACATCTGTAATATTTTAGAATTATAACCGATTAACGGATATTACGAATATAAATTGTTGATACTTTCAAATAGTAGAAAAAATCTGTCTCGCGAAATTGGTATTAAAGTTAGTGAGCGAGGAGACTAAAATTTAAAATGATATATAGCGAGGTGAACACTGATTGGTGTAGTTTTGTGAGCATACTAGTTTTCGTGTGCGTATTATCAAAAAGCGCGTAGTTTTTAATTAACATGGCTTCTACAAATACAGATGAGTGAATATGGCAGTGACAATAATTGCTTCGATATTGTGCCATCAATAGTTCGACCCCTTTGCGCACACGATCCAATAAAACATTATCATAATTTAAGTGGAAAATATTATTCATTTTAAGATTATATGCATATTTTAATGTTTAGCATTTTCACCACCAGCAATTTCTCACCAAAATTTTCTGCACTTTTTTCTTATAATTTCTCTAATTCTAATTGGAGCCAATCGACAAATTTGTGTCAGACTACAACGAGACTAATTTGTGATGAAAAAGAGAACTGGTAGTGAAACAGATGTTTTCTACTGCGTTTCTCAGAAAAAAAGTGAGGTTACCATTTCTATTGATTATTATATGTTGACTACCGAAGACTCATTTTAAGCACATATGAGTACTATAATAAGATGTGTGGCCATGATTACGTCATAGTATAATAACATTTCAGAATTGGTGAAAACAAATAAATTAATAAAACTACGTCTGATAATATCTGCAACCCATGAATCCGACTAACCGTTCTTGTCTAAATTTAAAATCAGTATGAACTCTTTTTTTATGAGAAACCACTGTGCGTCGTTGAGAACAGCTATAATG